CTCCCCCTACCCTCGTATATACTTCCCCGTCACCTCCCACCCCCCACCCCCCCCATCCTTTCATCTCCCCTATCTAACCCCCCTCCCTCTCTCCCAACACTCTCCCTTCTCCCACACGTTCCTGTCACTCCTGCCCCCCCCCCCCCCCCCCCAATGTCCCATTTCGCCCCACCCCCCGCAGGTTTCTGGATCCTCCACTACGCCGCCCGTGCCGTTGTGTTTTCTTTCGGCGTCCTCATGTGGATCGTGTACGTGTCCCTGGAGCTGCTGTTCTACCTCCCGCCAGTTTTGCTAGTCATCTACATCCTGTCCCTCGTCCTGCTCTACACGCTGATGCCATCTGTCTTCCACAAGATTCTCTACACAATGTACTGGGTGGCGCACACGTTTTTGCATTTTCTCAAATACGTAATCTTCTCCAATGATCCATAATCTATACCGTTTCTCAAAAACGTTTATTTTTTTCAAACAACGAGAAACCAGTGTGGAACCACCAACCTGAAACACAAAAAAACACACACACAAATAACAGAAAGAAAATGGAGCCAATAAATAAATTTTAAAACAAACATAATGTTTTAAGGACTTATTTCTTATTTGAAAACAAAAAAACAAACAGAAGAAAACATTATTGCCTGTGCTTTCTACCCCCACCGACTCAATACAGATTATAATTGTTAAAGAAGACTCCCGGAATCTGTGATAGTTTCTTTGTGCATTAGAATAAATGTATACTAAATATGATGTGCATGTAACGTCTCTGTGACGTGTGGAAGGTGATTTGAGAGCTAGAGTCGGTGGTATCAGCCGACCCCTCCCCCATTTTGTGCCCTTTACAAAATGATTGCAGGTGGTTGGCAGGTGCTCTGATGAGGTTTGCTCCTTCTTTCCTATCAATAACCTGGCATCCTTATTTCCTCTCCTTCCTTTTGTGTTTATTTTTCTCTTGTAACTCCTCTAATCTTCGGCACTTATATGACCTTATTGTGTTGCAAGCGCCGTAAAGCTCGTACAAAAACTAAACAAAACGACTCACATAACATTGTCCAAACCAGCGTCTGTGGTGTAGCGGTTAATCACTTTGTTTTCGCACGCGAGAGAGTGAGAAGCCCCAGTTCGATTGCCTCTGGGCGAGAATTTTGTCTTTTTGAAATATATCGGTCTTTCTGCAGGAATGTTGTTTTCCTCGAATTGACTGTGACCGGCAGAAATCCAGATGTGTCTTTGTTTTCCTTTTGATATAAGCGGAGATGGACAAATACCTGGAGTTGAGTGAGGAGTTGTCATATATTTAGTAAAAATTCAGCTTACTTTTTCTTTCACCCGACCTTTGTCCATTTTAACTATAGCAGTTTTAAACGTTTGTACAGCTCGTTCTGCCAATCCATTAGAGGAAGGCTGATATGGTGAAACTGTGATGTGTTGCACGCCACTAGCCGTCATGAAGTTTTGAAAGTCTGAGCTGGTCCAGGTTGGGCCATTGTCAATTACGACAGAATTTGGTAGGCTCATGACGGAGAACACATAACGCAGTTCAAGAATTGTTTGATTATTCTCACACCTAGCCACATAAAGTGGGCATCTACAATGACCAGAAACATGTTCCCATGAATGGCACTGTGACATATTTTTCTATGTCAGAGTCTCATTTTGGCCCCAAAGCCAGGATCTTGTCAAGGCGTTCTTTTTAGCCATCCCAACATGGGAATCATGAAACCACTCGAGAACATCACGTTGAGGTGATTGAGGAATCATGTCTCTTCATCCCCACTACAGGCAACCTCTTTCAATGCTAATCTCACTCTTTCTCGCTTTGAAAGGTCTAAGAGGACTGACGCAGCCAAGTGTCTTGTCAGGCGAATCATTCATTGAGTAATGAACATATAAAAATACATGTCTTAGTACAGGGTCTGTTTTTGTCTTTGTTGAATTTTTGTCAAAGTCAAGTGGTGTTTAGTCAATCAAAAAAAAGTCTATTTCTTCAGCCACATACGGTACAGCTGTTTGTTCTTGTAGTGGGAGTCTACTGAATGCATCAGCGCTATTTTGTGGACCTGGGCGAAACTCCAAGTGGTAGTTGTACGCTGATAATGTTATGACCCCCCACCCCCTTCCAACACAGTTGCACTCGAACTGATGCATGCTCGGTGATTGGTTTAGCATCACCAAAATGTCATAACAGAGGCTTGTGATCTGCTACAAAGGCGATTTCTGGACCAAAAATGTACAATTTATGGAATTTCCTAACTCCAAACACAACAGATAATGCTTCCCTATCCAACTGTGAATATTTCTTTTCAGCTGGATTGAGTGATCGACTTGCATAAGCAATGGGCTTCTCACCAACACAATCCACATGGAAAAGAACTGCGACAAAACCAACAGGCGAGGCATCACAAGTAAGAATGATCTTTTTTGAAGGATCAAAATGCAGCAGAATAGAATTGGATGAAAGGAGCAGCTTATCACCTTTGAACGCTTAAATCTGTGCTCGCCCCCATTGCCATCAGCATTCTTGATGAGTAAAGCATAAAATGGGGCAAGGCGTTGAGACAAACTGTCAATGAAGCTTGAGTAGTAGTTAATGAGACCCAAGAACGATTTCAACTGCTGTATGTTCTGTGGCGCTGGAGCATCCTTGATGGCTCTGACATTTTCCTCTTGTGGCTGCAGTCCGTGCTTGTTAAGACGAAAACCAAGAAAGTCAACTTCATTCAGAAGGAACTTGTATTTTTCTTTGCTGGCGAGCAGGCTTTTTTCCTTACACACTGATAGTACCTTGCTCAGTGTCTCAAGGTGATCTGTGTCGTTGGCCGCGGTCACATGCAGATCATCAAAATAAACGCACGTGTTTGAGATGTCCTGGAATAAACTATCCATCACTCTTCGCAAAATACTGAGATTTGAAGATATTCCAAAGCACAGCCTCTGGTATTCATAAAGACCTTTGTGAGTGTTGATCGTAGTGAGTTTTCTTGACTCTGGATCTATCTGGAGTTGGGTGTAAGCGTGAGAAAAGTTAAGCGTGAGAAAAGTTAAGCGTGAGAAAAGTTAAGCGTGAGAAAAGTTAAGCGTGAGAAAAGTTAAGCGTGAGAAAAGTTAACGTGAGAAAAGTTAAGCGTGAGAAAAGTTAAGCGTGAGAAAAGTTAAGCGTGAGAAAAGTTAAGCGTGAGAAAAGTTAACGTGAGAAAAGTTAAGCGTGAGAAAAGTTAAGCGTGAGAAAAGTTAAGCGTGAGAAAAGTTAACGTGAGAAAAGTTAAGCGTGAGAAAAGTTAAGCGTGAGAAAAGTTAAGCGTGAGAAAAGTCAATTGTTGAAAACATCTCTCCACCAGAATATGCACACAGTGTTATCGCGCTCCAGTACTGGCTTATTAGGTGTTGCCCTATCAGAGAAAGAGACTTTATGAATAATACCAGCCGATTCTAGTCGAGAAAGTTCTCCTTCTATGCCATCTCTAAATGAAAAGGGGGGCTGTCGAGCATTACAATGTTTTAGGACATCGTCTTCTTTAAGATGTAGTTTTGCCACACGATCGTTCAGTAAGCCGTTTTCACCAAATACGCTTTGGTTTTCTTGTAACACATGTTTTAGGTCATTTGGTACCTTTAGGGTGAAGATGGAGTTCCAATCCGACATAGTGTACGATAGCCAGTCTCTGCCAAGTAACCGAGGACCCCTGACGATGGTAAGTGGTAACGCTTTCTGATGACATTACAATTGTAGAGCACCTCCACATTGGTTTTGCAGTTTCAACTGCTCGACCTGTGTAAGTGTTGAGGGCTTTGTTCTACTTATAAAGGGCAGCAAGTTTGAAACGATTAAAACCATTTATAGTCACCACGGACAGAAACACGCCGGTGTCGACCTGAAATTTGACAGGGTTATTGTTGACAATGAACTCCACATCTATGGGTCTGGCTCTAGACCTTGAGTCAGTCAAGTTAAAAAGATGGAAGTTGTCATAGGCCTAATCAGCATTATCAAGTTCATCTAACATGACGTGTGTCTTATGTTTTTGTGAATTGCTCTGCCATTTCGCTTTGTTTGACGGCGCTGCTAGTCCAAACTTGGTTAGCTTAGGTTTAAATATACACGTTCTGGATATATGACCCAATTTAGAATAATTGAAACGCTTTTCATTTTTAAACTTGCAAGCAAGTGGGGCATGTGGACCACCGCAACGGCTACATGAGTTGTGAGATGTTTTACGTTGAGACGTGGAAAAGTTTAGCATTGTGTCATTTCTATGTCTGTCTGGGCCCTGAAGCTCTCTAGCTGCTTCTGCTGTCGCCGTTGTAGTCACTGTTACTTCAACAGCCACACGAAGTGTCAAGTCTGTTTTTGCGAGCAACTTACGTTGAACACTTTCATCATTAATGTTGCGTATAAATTTTTCACAAAGCTGCTCTTCCGGTTGAGCTCCAAAGTAGCAGTGGCAGGCTAACTTTTTCAGTTCTGCTATTACGGTTTGAATGTTCTCACATGAATGGCGTATTCTAACTTCAAAAGTAACTCGTCGAAGGAATTTAGGAGGTGGGGGTTCATGATGATTGCGTAGCAATGCACATATTTCCTGAAAAGATTTATCTGTGATGGTGTGGGGCATGCACAAGTGCTTGAGTAATCTATACTGCTGTGCACCAATAACTGTAAAAAAATATTGCTCATTGCTTGGAATAATAGAATTAGCCTCAAAGTAGAACTTTAATCTTTCTTTATAGTCTGAGAAGTTTTCTTTCATTCGTACAAATTTATCGATTCTGCCAAACAGTGACATGGCTTCTGTACGTGTTGTTTTTTATACTGTACTCAAAGTGGAACTACCTTGATCTGGACAGCAAAGAGCTCTGTGGAGTGAAGAAATACCTGCATAGCATTAATCTTTCATTACTTCACAAGTTTAATCTTCGTCGCCAAATATGTGATGTCTCATTATGGCTTGGATAAACATAGATAATTCAGCACAACAATCGTACACATAAATCAGCAACCGACCATGTTGGGTGTTTATGACACAACTGAGTGCAAACTTTATTGTTCATCCTGAATTACTTGATTCAGAGAAGGAGACATAACTACGTAATGAACGATAGTTTACCAAACACAGTTACTGCTCATTTAAGAGATATTGCTGAGATATCCAGTGTGACGTCAGCGATCTCACAGGTCAGTTGTAAGTTTATTAATGGTGCAGCCAGAAAGTAAATCCTGGGGTAGTTTTTGCTATCTTTGTTTTCGTCTTTGTCGTGGTCTCCCACGAGAGACTTGATTACACAGGGTGGGCGTGTCGTCTAAGGTGCTGGTGAGAGCTTACAGCTGGGAGGAAGAAGAAAGAAAATGATAATCAAATACAAAAGAAAAGTAAGTTGTAGACTTTTGTTTGCTATTTAACCTTTGTAAAAATGTTTTGTTTGTTGCTTTTTCTGTCGTGTTTCTTTTTTTTTTTCAACTTTACTTTAACGTTTACATTTCTAGGGGTTGGATGGGTAGGTGGTTTTTGGTCTCGTGAAAGAAGGATAGGGCCTACTTATCCCCAATTTTCTTTTGTGACTTCTACCCTTATGAATCGTTAACGTGCGCAACTTGCATGCGAGATCTTCAACATTTTACGCTCTTATCCAAGAAGGTTAAGTTTCCGATCTAACCTCCCTGCAGATCAGGGGTGTGGCTGTCAGACAGTAGTAAGGATCAGCCAGGAGTAGCAGTAGAAAGAGTCGGGAGTAAAGGAGAGAGGAGCGTAGAGGAAGATAGATGGTAGGGTGGGGGGAGAGGGGGGGGGGGAGCAGACCGCATAGCGGAACAAGAAGACAGGAAACGAGCACATAATTTTCGAGAAACAAAGTAGGTGGCCAGCGGGTGCTCTGGTGTGGTTTGCTCCTTTTCTCCTATCAAACATCTGTCGTCCTTGTCTCTCTTCCTTCTTTCTTTTTTTGTTTTAGTTTAGTTTTAATACAGGCTTTACGGCGCTCACAACTGCTTAAAGTTATATGAGCGCCAGAAGATTAGAGGTGTTACAAGAGAGTAACAAACATATAAAAGAAGGAGGAGAGATAAGGATAATAGATATTTGATAGGGAAGAAGAAGCAAACCACACAAGAGCACCCGCCAACCACCCACATTCTTTTTTGTGTGTGGTATGTTGCCCTTAAGTAAGTCGCTAATCTTCGGTAATTACATGCTCTGATTGTGTTTCAAGGGCCCCAAAACTCTCACTAAAAAATAAAAATTATCGCTGATAGGCTTTGAGAACGGATCTTTGATTAAAAGGCGAACATTGGACATGTAGCTCTGGACCACGAGAACCCCTTCAGTGGTGGTCAGATGTGGGTGACAAGGTAAAACAGAATGGTAGTCATGGCGCATCGTTAGCTCAGTTTGTATCACGCTAGACCATGGAGTTTATGGCTCTGGTTCGAATCCCCAACATGGGAATTTTTTAAACTGTGGTTGTTTTAGCATATCCTGACAGTGTTGAAAAAAATGTTAAATCTATTTAGTTTGGTTTTAGAGAAGGTCTTACGGAACACAGACAGGTCATAAAAGTACCAAAGATCAGATGTGTTACCTGAGCGCGACAAGCAAAGAAAAGAAAGAGGAGAGATACGTTAGATAGATGTTTGATAGGAAAGAAGGAGAGATAAGAGCGATAGATGTTAATAGGAAAGAAAGAGGAAATATATGTAAGAAAGCTGTTTGACAAGAAAAAAGAAGTTGAGATTAGTAAAATAAATGATTGATAGGAAAGAAGGAGGAGAGATAAAGACAATAGACAGGAAAGACGGAGCACGTTTTAACATATACAAAGAGGACACCGACAGAGACATGTGAGGCGACGATGGTTTGACCCTCCCCCCGCCCCCCGCTGTGTGGGTTGACCTACTTGTCGCTGCTCTCCACGTCCGCCATGACGTACTTCCGGCCCAGGGCCCGAGCTCGGCCGTACCTGCTCAGGTGTCGGGTCCCACTCACCCTGGGAACAGAACCAGCCAAAGTCACAAACAAACCACAGGAAACTATGTTAAAACAAAGAAATGAATGAATGAATGAATGAATGAATGAATAAATAAATAAATAAATAAACACATTATAGATTATAAATTATGAATGAATGAATGAATGAATGAATAACCGAATAAATGAATTGATGAATTACTGAATAAATAAATAAGTTATAGATTATAGATTACAAATAAATGAATAAATGAATGAAGAAATGATTAATTGATTAAAATAATATATATGAATAAAGTGTTGGTCAGGGCTATTCCGAGATGAATGGCAGACAATATCGTTCTCCAGTTACAACAGAGTCTAGGTTTCTCTTTTCTTATTTGTGTGTGTTGTGTTTGTGTCTGTGTCTGTGTGTGTGTGTGTGTGTGTGTGTGTGTGTGTGTGTTTGTGTGTGTGTGTGTGTGTGTGCCTACGTTCCAATGAGGATGTGGGAGTGTGGGCACGCGTGTGTATGTTTTACATTGGTCATTCAGAATTAGCAAGTCTACAAGACGTATTGTTTTCATGATCAGCAGAATGTCGACCTGGTTTCGCTCTTCCTTGTTATGACAGTAAAAGCGTGAAAAAAACAAACAGCCCCGAAATATTACATGAATAAAACGCCATTAAAAAATGGTTAGAACTCGTAAGAATTATTTTTGTAGTGTACGGCAAGCTAACATAAAAGTAGGCTAACACTCGGGTTAACCAACACAAAAGCAAGCAAAAGCAAAAATCGAACGAACTAAAGGTGAAAAGTAAAACAAAAACAAAAACAAACAAACACAAAAACACAATCATAAAAACAAACACAAAACTAACAAATAACAAACACAAAAACAAACAAACACGGAGACTGACCAGTCTGTGCCTTTCTTCCCGTCACAATCACCACACAGTCCTTGCATGTTCCCAGAGAAAGTGGCCCTAGGCGCCATGACCCTGGCCCTCTGGTCCCCGTCAAACTGCACGATGGCGTCACAGGGCAGACGCACGCTGATGACACCACCAGCGGAAGTGACGTGGAAAGACCCCTGGTCCTGGGGTACCGATGACAACCGTCCGTTGATCTGAGAAAAACATTGTTATTGTTACTGTTAATGTTCTGCATCCTCACCTCCCCTAAGAAATTTTTAACAATAATATTGGGTTTAATCAATCAAAAAGAAACCAAAAAACAACAGATAAAAAAAGAAACAAGAACAAACCACCTCCCTAAAAAACAACCACCCCCCTTCCCCGCAAATCCCCAACCCAAAAGCAAAAACAAAACAACGATTATAACCCAACATAGAAAAAACAAAAGTCAAACAAAACAGCTACCTCGGCTCGACCTGTGGCGGCCAATCTGGGCTGAAAGGGGCACAACAGCTATGGCGATTGACGGACACACTTGGAAAACGTTTCCTCGAGAGATTCGAACACACGTCTACTGTGCAAGGCAAGACATCAAAACTAACGTCACAATGATAAACACGGTTTACAACAAACCTTTCTTTCAGGCAGGCTACAGCAATATACGTGTATACTGTGTACACTTTAGGCTTCAAGGTTAGAAAAACAAAACGAGTGAACAAGAAGATCCTTAAGACACTTCAACAATTCGTTTAGGTCCCTCAACAATCATGTGTACCTGGTGGCGTCGGTGGCCTAGTGGTTAGGCTCTCGGACTTGCAACCGTAAGGTCGTGGGTTCGAATTCCGTCAGGGACCCGACGTTGTGTTCTTGGGAAAGGCACTTTGCACACATTTTCCTCACTTCACCCAGGTGGAAATAGGTACCCGGCTATAGACAATGAACGATCTTGTCAGTTTGATAGTGTTTGAGCGCGTGAAATCCGCAGCTTGCACTGTATGCTTCCGCGGAAGCCGAGAATGTTTCTGAGTGTTCTCTGAGGGTCTGCTGGGGTAATAATAGTTGTAAAGCGCATAGAGCATGCTCTTGAGCATGGATATGTACTATATAAACGCATTTATTATTATTTATACCTTTGTGTAACAATTCGCTTACGTCCCTCAACGACCACGTTTACCTATATGACTGTATTGTTTTACATGGGAGGTGGATTTTTACGACCATACAGACCAGGACACCCAATTAAAAGACCAGACGAAAATAAACTGTCCCGCATGAGAATCAAACCCACGCCTTACGTGTGCAACGGCAGAACATCAGTGAGTTGGGGGAAAATACCAAGTCATCCGCTCAATACTACAGAAGACCTGCACTTGTCCCTGCCACTTCCTGCCAGATCTGGACGTTAGCAGCTCCTGCTAGATCTCAGGGGAATTACTTCTCCTTTTTGTTTTAGTAAGAGTTTTACGGCACTTGCAACACACTTGGGTCATATAAGTGCCGAAGGTTAGATGTGTAACAAGCAAGTAACAAACACGAAAAAAAGAAATCGGAGAGATACGGACGATACGGAAAGAAGGAGCAAACCACACCAGAGCACCCGCCAGCCAGCCACAGTCCATCTCCGATAGAACTAAGACAAGTAGCCTATTACCCACAGGTAAACGTGATCTTTGAGGGACGTAAACAGAATGTTACAAATAGGTAAACGTCATCTTTTTTAGATTCCCTGCTTTTTTTTGGGGGGGGGGGGTAAGTTCCGGATGAAGCCACGTTTTGTTTTAGTCAGGTTTGATGTTTCAACTTGCCAGAACGATGCCAGATTGTCCAATGTGTGCCGTGTCAGCAGCGACGATGACGTCAAGGCTCTGTGTGAAGGCTCCCCGTGTGTAGAGGGAGTCGGGTCTGCGCCGGTTGTGAACCTGCAGTCAGAGAAAGGACCCCTTTAGGCATGGAATTGTTTGTTTGTTGGATATCAGTATTTATTTGTTTATTTATTTATTTATTTATTTACATGTATCTATTTATTCATTTGGTTAAGCACTTCCCCTTCCTGAGTCTACCACAAAGCATCTATCTATCTATCTATCTATCTATCTATCTATCTATCTATCTATCTATCTATCTATCTATCTATCTATCTATCTATCTATCA